CTTGTGGATCAAGTCAAAAAAGAAGGCAACGAGTTGCTTATTATGGCCAAGGGAAATAGCACTGTCATGAAGAGCCTTAGGCCGCGAGAAGCTGCGGCCATGGCGGCGGAGAGAAGATTGCGAGCTGATCCATGGTGTGGTACTTCTGTGTCGTTTGATTCGGTGCAATCTCGCACTTCCAAGTTATGGGGAAGGCTATTTTCAGTTATGAAAATTTTATTCTGGGTTCATTACATATGGCATTTTTACAAATATTTATTTGGGATTATGCGAACATCAATTTGTAATTGGTTATATATTTAATTTGGTGAAGGAAAATTGATAGATTAATCCTCGGCTAAACAGCTCGAACTTTTTATTTTAAGTGAATTTATAAGGTGAAAATAGAATTAGTATTATGTATTTGCCGACCCAATTACATAAAAAGGTAATAATATATTTGCGGTTTGCTGCCAACTAAGCCACATATATAGCATATACTCCAAGATATAAATGAAGTTTGCCTATTCTTGATTGTTAATAATGTGTTGTTTGTAGCTTGGTTGATCTGGTCAGATTATTGTAATCCTTGACTGAATTATGTTAATCTTTTTTTTAAGCTTCCGTAGATGGTAGTTGATTTGATTGGATTATTGTCACCGCCTATGAAGACCCATAAGCCGGGCTTCTTTGAATGTTGAGGATTGATCGCTGTGCCAAGCCTATAATTCAGGGAAAATTTTGAAGAATGCTATCAAATGATCACACTATTTTATTTTTATCATCAATCTTAGACTTATCATTTCTGCCATCAATATTTTGATAGGATATCTTTCATATTCTACCAAAATATTCTTTTTCTGACAAAACATTTTCATATTCTTATCATAATACGTTTCGTATTCTATCAAAATATTTTTTTAATGACATATATAATAGAACAATGAAAAATAACAATTATTCTCCTTATTTTCTCATAATCCATTCTCTCCCCCTGGATTGAGTCATTTTCTGTGATTGGCTACTAGGCCTATTTAGAGGCCCATCTCCAGTAGATCAGTAGATAGAGAGGCCCACCTTTCTTGTGCCTTGTTATCCCATTGTCTTCACAAAATTGAAAATTCGACGAATTACCCATCTGGGTATTCTAGAGTATTCAATGAACTGTGACGCGCTAAGCTTGCGGTGATATGTCCAATTGAGTATAATTGAGTCAAGTTCTTTCTATTCTACTCGCGAGCTCTTAAATTTTTGTTAAAGATGAAGAGAACGGAGGACGTAACGACACTAATAATTCATTAATTTTTTCGTTAAAAAAATCCTTTATATGACAGATGTGTTTTTTTTTTTTTTCCTTTTTTATTATTTATCAATTTTCATTTACTTTTATCTTTTCACTTTACCTAGAGCATATTGCATACGAATGCCATTTTCCTTTCACACCGTCCTTGCATTAGGACCATACAAATATAGTGCAAACGATGCATCAAAGTTGAAACAAAGATAATTACAACCAAATGTCAACATCACCCTTGTGACTCAGAGTGTGCATTTGCATGGGCTAGTCCTACACAAGCAATTCATCAATCTTATCCCTTACCTTTACAAATTGACCACAATATTACATGCTCATGAGAGAGAGAGAGAGAGAGAGAGAGAGAGAGATTGGACAGCAAGAACCATCCAAAGCTCGGATTAAGTACTTGAGATGATCTACAAATTCTTTCACCATTTGCATGGACAAGAATCAGTGATATAATAAAGGGTAGTACTTTTCTCTATAAAATAAAACTACATATTAATATATGTGTTTTATTAAGGAAAAAAATAAATTGAGTGCGGTTTGAGCCCCATTAAACCTCACTTAATTGGCTCCGTCCATTGATGGTGTTAATGCTGCGCACTCATGTTAAAAAGGTTTAAATTGTGACAAGGAAGATTCTTATTTATTCCACGGGTAAAAGATTCTCTAATATGAATTTTTTCCTTAATTTAGATGTGGTGAGGGTTTGGAAAACGATAGTTTTTACATATAGTTCTCTCCATATGAGGAGAGAGGGAAAAAAAGGAGGAAAAAAAGCTTTTTAGTGTATATATGTAGGGACATTTGATATTTTATATCTTGTGTTTTATATTTATCAAAAGCAAATATATCATGTACGTTGGATGTTTAAAATTATGCCAACAAAAATTTTGACCATGTATTAACAAATTAATATGCTCTACAGTTTTTAACCACAATATTTACTATGTTTTCTTTGATTTTTAAACATAACTCCTTATTCTTGAGTGGTTGCAAAAGCTAAATTCGTCACTCAGAGGGTTAAATTCATATGTTTACAAAAAAAGGGGAGAGGGATACAATTCTGATAACATTCAAATTACTTAAGTAACATTGTTTTTAATAAACTCAAAATATAAGGTATAAAATAGTAAATAATCCTTTAATATGTGAAGGTAGGAAGTTAAATTTATTTGCTGCATCATTTTTTAAAATTTTTTTTTTAGGTTCAAACTTCAAACGAGTTAAGTAACAAAGACAAGACACTATAATCTCTATAAGTGGGAGTTTGCATAGAAAACACTAGTGGTTAGGGAATAAACGATACATGGCAAGATCGTCAATTTGTCTTATAAGAGCAACAAAACAAAAACAAAAACAAAAAATTGACAGCAACATTTTTCACTTGGATCCATAACCAAGACGAGGGGATCAGATTGCTCCGTTGTGTCAAATAATATATTTGTGGTTGAGGTGTATCCTAATCTACTTGTTTCTTGCGTGGCGATATCCTATTGGCTGGAGGAATTTTCCTAGGGCTCGTCCGAGTCAGCATCCCCAATTAAGTTTGAGGCTTTGCTTGGCTCCACGTGAGACACTCGTGATCCAATGAAGTGATACATGTCAGCATTAATTTGATGCCAATTAAGTGCCCGTTCACTTCGTTGATTTAAGTTTGTAATTCGAGTTGAGATGTGATTTTGTGTGAGAACTTTTTACTGTAGTAAAAAAGTTAGATGTGATTGTTTCTGAGAGCTTTTTACTGTAACAAAACTCAAATTCTAAACTCGAATCGGCGAAATGAACGGGGTGCTGGCCTGTTTTAGGGATGGCCCACACATGACTTTGCAATTTTATAGACGTTTTCGACAAAAAATTACATGCAGGATTGTTCTAGTGGCAAAGTAACAAAATTAAAGGGATTGAGTTGAGAATTTTAGTTAAAGAGTGAGTTTATTAAGAGATAATATTGTAATAGAAAAAATTGAATTTAAATTTTGTAAGAGAGCGAACTAGCAACTTAAACGATACCAAAATTAGAGAAAAAAAGGGCGTCCTATTAATATTATTTTGACATTTCATTTAAAAGCAATATCTTAATCATTTCATATTTATCATATAACTACATTCTTAAATTTAGAATTTAGATTATAAGAGAAAATAGTGTCGAGGAGACAGAAAATTTAAGACACTAGATCAAATTTGAGAATATGAGCGTGCGTCAGTGCTCCTCTAAAGTTCTAGATGTAAAATCAGGCAATTACTTTGAGAAGCTTCGTAAATATATGCAAATATGATAATTATCGTAAAGATTGCAATTTATAATAATGCTCACCATCAAAATTAACAAAATCGAACAACAACAACTTCAAGATAATCAACGAACACCAGCATAAAGATTGTAACTTTATACTAATTTAATAAGATTAGAAACTTGAAAGGTTGAAAAGTTGTGTGTGCGATATTCAAGGTATAGTTTTTATTGACTTTATAATAATGAACAACGTCATAATATATAAATAATTAATTTTGAAGAGCAGATAAATCATAATATTATTAAAACTTCAGTCAGTTTTTAAAATATAGCTCTTGAAATTCACAATTTAGGTAAGTTCTCTTTAAGGATTTACTTATTTATGTAAAGATCCATTGTGACATTTGTTGTGCCTATCTTTTAAGACTGGATGCTAGAAGATAAAAAATTATTTAAAGGTGGGAAGTATAGTTATTTATTGATTATTTAAATATCAAGAGTTATATTTATTTATTTTATACAAGACGAGAGATTGAAATCGTAATCCCTACTCAAATCCTCTAGTGTCACAGTGGATCTTAGTCAAGAATTATATTTGTTTTAGGATTTGGCTACTATTTTTTATTTTTTATTTTTATTTTTTCCGTGTAACAAAGTGCGTTGGAATGAAATTGAACAAGAATTTTAAATTTAAAATCTTTGTAGTTTCTAAAATTAGAGGATAAATTGAGGAAAACATAAAATTAGAAGGTATTTTCTTGTAATTAAAACACCATTTTGCCGTTAAAATATTTAGGTGACGTTTGATTAATGGATTAGAATCATGTTATTAGAGTCATTTTTTATTTACGTGTATTTTTTATGAGAAAAAATACTATTATAAACCAAACAGATATTCTATAAAAAAAATCATAATTTAAATTTTCTAACCAAACGGCCCTTAACAGGCGAAAATGATGCATTTCTCGTTAAAGAGTGAGATCTTATAGGGCCTTCAACCAGCGTCCTGCTAATCTGTTGGGAGCTACTTTTACAGAGTTTCAGTAAGGGATATTCTAACGCCGGTGCTTCCGGCGTTTTTATTTACAGAAAATAAAAAATAATTATATGAAATTCCACATTTGCCATTGAACGTCTTACACGTGCCTAGAGGTCCTTATGATTTGACAGGTGCCCCGTATGAACAGCGAGTTCTCTGTTCTCTCCCTGCTGGGGCCTACAAAATTGATTCCACAGAGAGGAAAAAGAAAGAAAGAAAGAAAAGCAGTGGGTCCCACTTGAAGCTCTGACCCACGCCTAAAACAAAAGCCAGCCACAAGATAACGCAACCACCACGTCAACCACTAACTTCCCGCCACGTGTAGTCCCCTGGATTCTCTTCCCAATCCCCCGGAAAGCTAAAGAAAGAAAAAGCCTCCGCAAATTAACTTGAGTCTTTCCCAGCAAAAAAAAAATAACCTTAGTCTTCTCTCCTGCACAGAGAGAGAGAGAAAGAGAGAGAGAAACGGCTAGAGAGAGATACGGCTAGAGAGAGATACGACAACGATGATGAAGGAGGACACAAACGGGGGCAACTCCAGCAAGAACTGGGCGCGCGTGTGTGACACGTGCCGTTCCGCGGCGTGCGCGGTGTACTGCCGTGCCGACTCGGCGTACCTTTGCGCGGGGTGCGACGCGCGGGTGCACGCGGCGAACCGCGTGGCGTCGCGGCACGAGCGCGTGTTCGTCTGCGAGGCGTGCGAGCGTGCGCCGGCGGCGTTCATCTGCAAGGCTGATGCGGCGTCTCTCTGCGCCTCCTGCGACGCCGACATCCACTCCGCCAACCCCCTCGCCCGCCGCCACCACCGCGTGCCCGTCCTCCCCATCTCCGGCTGCGTTTACGGCCCCTCGGCCGCCGCCGCCGCCGCGGGAGAGGACGACGTCTTCGACGACGACAACGACGAGGACGAGACAGCGTCATGGCTGCTGCTCAACCCCATCAAGGCTGGAATCAACAATCATCAGGGGATTAATACTAACAACAACAACAACAACAACAACAACGGATCATTTTTGTTTGGTGCGGAGGTTGATGAGTATTTGGATCTTGTGGAGTACAATTCAAGCACTACAACTGGTACTGATCAGTTTGGGGATCATCATGAGTTGATGAATAATCAGCAGATGAGTAGTTATGGTGATCCCCAGAAGACTTATGGAGGTGGTGGAGACAGTGTTGTGCCAGTTCAGTGTGGGGATGGGAAAGGGCAGATCATGATGCCGCATATCAGCCATGGATTTCAGCTGGGTTTGGAGTTTGACTCACCAAAAAGCACTTACAGTAATTACAATGGTTCCATTAGTCACAGTGTAAGTCTTTTTTTTTTTTTTTTTTTTTTTTTATCATAACCCAATTGAAAGTTTTTTAAATTTTAAGTTATACATCATGATTTTGGCCTTTCTGTATCATCAACTACATGCATGATTTTTATAACATTGACTTAATTTAAAGTTGCATATATATATATATATATATGTCTTTGAATTGAATAGTAAGATCTGAATATGTACTAGAATGTATATACACAAGTTTTTCGACTATGTTAAATGTGAAGGGTATCTTCCGAGATTTTTTTTTCTGCACTTTATTCGCTTAATTTACTTTTTTCTTTGCCTTTCTCCCTAAAAGAGAGGAATCCAACAATATAAAGTTTCTTCGCTTTTCTCTCTTTTTACCTTTTGTTCTTCCTAGTCATCAATTTGGAATTAGGATCTTAGTCTTGCACGATTTTGTAGAATTTTACTGAAAAGTACTCTTAGAAGAAAGCCTTTAGCTTGGTTCTTAATCACTTTTTGCAATAAAATTACGGAGCAAAAACATGATATTTGTACTTGTGTTTGTGGGTACAGAATAAGTGTAAAAATCAGTCTTTTTCTAGTGCTAATCTTTACTGAGAAAGTGAGAGGATTCGTTCAATTATGAAGTTGCATATGATTCTTTATTTGCCATGTTCTATTGTGTTCCATGCACATGCATGATTAAGCCCTAACATAGATTCTTCGCTCTCCTTTTTTGTAGCATATGTGATCTACCCAATTATTAATGAAAATTATACTGAAAACCGAATTTCCTGATTAATAATCTAATTAAAAAATAAATGAAAGGAAATAACTATAATAAATTATTTAACTTGTGCTGATAAGAACATTTTTTTTTGGATCATGAATAATTAGGTCTCCATCTCATCAATGGATGTCAGTGTAGTTCCGGACTCAACAATGAGCGACATCTCGATTTCCCACCCGCGACCTCCTAAAGGGACGATCGATCTTTTCTCCGGACCAGCAGTTCAGATGCCGGCACAGCTTACCCCGATGGACAGGGAGGCTAGGGTTCTAAGGTACAGAGAGAAGAAGAAGACGAGGAAGTTTGAGAAGACAATCAGGTACGCCTCAAGGAAGGCCTATGCAGAGACCAGACCAAGGATCAAGGGTCGGTTCGCGAAAAGAACCGACGTTGAAGTTGAAGTGGACCAAATGTTCTCCACAACACTAATGGTAGACACTGGATATGGCATTGTCCCATCTTTCTAAAACCAGTTTGGAGCAAAAGAAGAGAAGAGTGATCTACTAGCTATTTTTTCAGTATAATTGCTAAAGTCCTTACTAATGATACTGTCTTTTGCCGATGTGTGTTTGGTAGATGGATCCAGAATCATGATTTTGGATCCTGGTTCAGAATCAGTGTTTGTTTACAGTGATTCTGAATTCATGATTCAGAATCATTGTTTGGTTTGGATGATTCTGAATCATGATTCAAAATCTGATGTGATGTTTTAAACTAGCTCAAATTATGATTCTAAAACCACCCCCCTCTTGATTCAAGGTGATTCAAATCCCTAATTCTGAATCATAGTTTTAGAATCATGATGTGAACCCAAAATCATGAATCATGATTCTGGTTCTAGAATTATTATTAGAATCACTCTGATTTAAATCCTCATACCAAACTAACTTATTGGTCTAGATTAAGGTCGTATATGAATGGTATTTTTGTAGATTATCTTTTTTTTTCATGCAACTGTTTATGTATTCTGTAAATGCACATGTATATTTGTATTTCAAGTCAATCCTAACATTTCGAGCATAATATTCTATACTAATAACGCCAGTACAGTTTCCAAGTGTTTTGAATCTATTATATCTTTATTCAGCAACACATAATTAGGAAATGTACTATCATGAACGAAAATAATTAGGTAATCTTGACAAATACTCTTAAAAGTGTATGAGTCATAATTTTTACTCTTTATTCTTGATTTATTATACTTTTAGTCAAATAATTACACTAACAAATGAATATTTATCAAATAAGGAGTAAAGATCCAGACTCCTACACTCTCAAAGATAAATTCTCCATTTTTTTTAGATAATTTAGAACTGTAAAAACGGGCAGCAATTTAAAAAGGCTAGAGGTCGTTTAGCTAAAATTAAAAGAATATGAACCAAACTATCACCTACTAAATAGATTGAGGACCATCTATGCCAATTATCCTTATTAATTTAAGCTTATGTCATGACCTTTCATTTCCAAGTTTAATTCTTACAACAAAAAAATCTAGTAACTAATATGTAAATGTATCTCACTATCCCAATACTTTAGAGGAAAGCAGTTTATAGAGTTAAACAAATTCACAATCTATTTAAGTTTTTAGATTTGTTTAATGTCACATTCATACAGTAGTTGGAATTAGATGCTATCGACAAGAAAGCGGTTGGGAAGCTAGAAGATTTTTAGTCTTAATACATTAAAAAGTTTTTATTTTTTTTCTTATGTAGCATAATAATTATATATAATTTTCTTATAAAGTAAAGATGTAACTGAAATTAAAAAGAAAAAAATACATGGCAACAATAAACTATACGCAATTCACTAATTTGTTCATTATAATTTAAATTTGATCAGAATTTTCCCTATGCTCTAGGAAATTGGAGCATGCATGCATAAAGACAAAATAGAAGTTTAGTGCCATACCACCTTATATCCACTCCGGGCTTTGTTTAATAATCTCGCAAAAAGACAAAAGAATATAAATAATTAACCGAAAAAAAATTAATTTGTTCTTTTTAGTTAATGGAAAAATTGTATTTAGTTAAACAGACAGACATTAATCTAATCAAGGCTAATGCTGCAATATAAATCAGCATTGCCCAACTTCTTCTTATTACATGACTTTGATCCGCCCCAATTATTTTCCAAGGGAAAATGATTTGGATGTTGATTGTTGTCTGATTATAATGGTTAATCATGTATATAAAAAGTCATAATTAGAATAGAGTTGGCTGTGGGTTGGGTTTTGATCCAAACAATTCTATACTCCTGAGACGAGGATCAAGCCATTATTCATGTTGACTAGTATCTAAGCTAAAAAAAATTCAAAATAATTAAAATTAAACAAATAATAATTATGGAAAATTTGTATTACAGTTGCTATACTTCTTCAGATTTGGCCAACATGCTCCCGAGTTGAACATTCCTACGTGTTCCGATGGAAATTTCAGACACAAAGGGGGGTATTAGTATGGTCTACGTGGGTCCCGCCATATAGGACCCACCTCTTGTGTCTGACGAATGTTTGTTCTCATCTCCTAAGTTACATCAAACTCTCATTTGAAGAATTTTTGAAGCCAAATTACTTTTTTAGAATTATGTGCATACACAATTTGAACTTTGACAAACACTTTCACTATAAAAATAAAATTTAAAAAAAAACATTTTTGAGGAACATTAGCTTTGGCCCCTTGTTAAATTATATCTATTGCATTTTTTTCACTTCAATCTCTCTCTCTCTCTCTCTTTTATGTTCATGAATAATTGTGACAAATACCTCAAAATGTATATGTGACGACCATTCTAAGTGGTCATCACTGTAGCTGAATTTTAACTTGTACTTACTATATTTTCTTAAAATTTTTGGAATATTTTTTTTAAAGTCTTATAGTAGACATAAGTTATGAATTGCTTTCTTGATTAAAATATTCAACCTTAACATATTTGTTTGTCAAAGCATATAAATTTATCTGTATGTATATACTTAATCCTTAAGTCTTGCTTACTTACAGTCATAATCCACAAAACCATTTAACATATAGTTTTAGAATCATAATTAGCAAAACTATTTATAACATAAAACTGATTGTGAAAATATTTGCGAGCGGTATCCATTCCCTGATCTCCACATCGTTCGTCCATTCGTCGTCAGTCCATCAAGTATTATATGCAGGTTGCTTACCTATAGTATAAATATTCTATTATGAGCTTTCGCTCAGCAAGTAGAAACTATCTCTCGCAAAATAACTGTAAGTTCACATGAATAAATATGTATGAGCCAATTATGCTTAATTATGATCACGTCTTATTAAATTCTTATTATCTTATCTTATCTTACTTACTTATGGGCCCGAGTGTCGTACCACTTGCGTGCAATCATCGGGACGTGAGGGTTTGTAAGGTCCCTAACGACACCGTGATTATAACTGAACTGAATGCCTCCCTCTCAGAAGACTTTATTTTTTTTTTCTTCTCCCTTGCGGAGTCTAAGTTACCTCCCTCTCAAAGGCTAGTACGGCACTCAACTGAGATTATTCTTATAAGTTTCTCTTCACTTATTAGGGTGTATGCAGTATGACATAGCCTCGCATACAACACATAAAGCATAAACATGCATGTATAACATGTGTAACTTTTTCTTTAAAATCTATTCATACTTACTATAGGCGAGATTCCTACTTACCTGATTTACAGGTTGGAATCCACTTTTTGCCAAACAGCCTATTCTCTTACTTGCTTATTTCTGAAAATGAACACCCATTGAGAGTGTGAGATTAACTGTCGTTTGCTATTCTATTTTAGCAGCTTATGAAGGAAATCTAACCCTTTTCTTAAGGCATGTATTCTTCTCCTTTACTGAAGGATAATCTACTATAAGGATCAATTTATTAAATTATCAAAATCTTATTTTCCTTAATTGCCCTTAACATCCACTTGCCTAGATTGAAAATCAATTACCCAATCTAGTAACTTATTCTCCATAATTTTCTTCATTGGACTTGTTATGATATTAAGGCCCAACTCAACCTAGAAACTTATTCACGGTATTCTAACTCTTAGGCTGCTGAAATTTAAACTCAAACGAGGTCTCTTAAATTAATGCGGGCGTTGGACCCACATCTAATCTTCATAATTCTAAGGACCTAACATATTGGGCTCGTAGGTGCCCGTTAGGATGTTTTACTCGAAAAACTATTGAGTGTTTTTTTAAAAGAAACCATTTTTCTTGAAAACTTTCTTCACGAATATTTCTGTTAAAACAAGGTCTAACACCATAGTATTTTACTGAAATCACATCTCGGGGTCTTTGATAACCTTTTGTTAAAAACCAATATTGTGTTAGTTTTGTTTAGTTAAAACTGTGCAGAATCTGAAATCTGCGTTTTACTGCATCTTAGAGTTGGATTTTAAAAATCTGTTCTTCACGATAATTCTTCATCTCGGCGAGATCTAAAATTGTCATTTTTAGAGAAAGCCAAATTCAGCCTTTAAAGGCCTCGTTTCGCTGAAAAAATGTGGCTGCATTTTTTTTTCTGAAACTATTTTGGACAGTCTGTACCGTTTTTTGCAAAATGGCTTAAAACTTGCATTTAGAGTTAAAACTGGATTTTGTCATAATCACAGGAAAAACATTCAAAATATCAAGAACTATAAGTTCAAACTTAGAGATACTGAAAAATCTCGCTCTAGGGTCCTCATTTTTGCGTTCAAAGTAAAAAAAATTTCTCCAACCCAAAATAAGCAAACTTAAACCAAACATAAACATACTACATAATACTAATCAAACTAACCTTAAAACACACAAAACCAACATGAAACTCACACACCCTTATTACAACTTATTTTCTCAAGAACTACAAATTACATCCTTGATTCACAACTTTGGTAGAAAAATAGAGGAGAAATGTTTAGAATTTATACCCTTGAAGAAAATCCTTGGTTAGACTCCTCCTGGAACACTTTGATCACCTTCTTCTTCCTCTAAGGTTTGTTAATGACTTGGAATTAGAAGAAAAATTTTGACTAGACTCCTCCTAAATCTCCAACTTTGCTAGAAAATAAGAAATAGAGGGTTTAGGGTTTATACCATTGAAGAAAAATTCTTGACTAGACTCCTCCTAGAACACTTTGATCTTCTTCTTCTTCTTCTAATGTTTGCTAATGACTTAAGATTAGGAGAGTGAGAGAAAATTTTGAGAAGCAATGGATAGGGAGATTGCCAGTTTTTTGGTGTGTGGAAAAGGAGAGGAAATGTGCAAAATGGGCTAACTTAATGCTTACTCTAATGATCTAACATTTATAGACTTTTGCTTAATCTCTTCTTAGCTCTTAATTAAGCCTATCAAGCTAGCTTAATTAGCAAAGTTTTTGGTTAATTTCACCCTTGCTTGGCCGGTTTGGGTGCTTCAAGAGAGAAGTGAAATAAGCTTTCTTGTCAAATAGTTGATTTGATTCATCTCATTATGAAGTCTTCTAGCACACTCAACTACCTAAAATTTTTGCTAAAACCTCTTAACATTGCCGGCCAAGTGAAGGAAAGGAGGGAAAAATTTTATCATGATTACTTTTCACTTACCCCTATCCAACCACATCTCATCCAACCAAATTCTAACCTACCCCTTGTACTTCTGTTTCATCTCTTA